CTATCAGACACATGTTAGTAGAAAGCATCCGGATTATTGTCAGGCCCGCGGTTGCCATTGTCGACATCGTCCAAACTTCTATACTGCGACTGTCCGCCGCGGCCACGCCCTCGACCGCCACCGCCACGGTCTCCGCGGGAGCCACCACGAGCACCGCCTCTTTGACCATAAGATGTATGCCTGTTGCTTCCACGACCGCGGTCTCGGTTGCCTCCACGGTAGCCTCCCGGCCTCTCATCTCGGTCTCTGCCTCCGCGGCCAGGGTTTGACCGCGAGTTGTCATTGCGCCCGTTCTGGTCATCCTTGCGATGGGACTTGTTAGGGAAATAGCTTTCATACTCGCTCTCGTTTGCCGTCTCTTCTTCAATGCGCAACATCTGCTTCTCACCTACGACAGTGTCAAATTCAAACGCTTGCTCTTGGGGCACGGGATGCCAGTTGGAGATGCGTGCAGCATCTGCTGGCCGGCCATTCTTGCGAATAGCCAAGACGACTGTTGGAACAGGATTTTCAGAGTAGAATTTTGCGCCTTTGGGAACAGTCTCGACTCTTGCCGCCCACAGCTTGTTCTCAAAGCACGAAACAGCAGTCACCCTCCACCGGACCTTGGCGCCGATGCCTCCCACCTTGTCCAGTATGCTCTTCGGGCAGGGTTTTGGCGTAATTAGGATGCTGTTTGCAAGATATCGGATATCGTCTTTCGGAGCACCAGGGGGTAAGGAGACTAGAGAAGTCAACTTCTCGGTCATTTCCGGAGGAATCATATAGCCGGTATAGAAGACGGTCTTCTTGATCTGGTACGGTGGTGTGCCAGGAGGAACGTTGCCCGACTTGACTTGGATGTTGTGTGTGTTGATCATCTTCTGAATCTCGGCAATCTCCGCGACAGGGTCGAGCGAAGTGGCGTTTTCCGGAACCTGTATAACCTCTGTGGTAATGGGACGACGCGACGCTTGGGTTTGTGCCCTGATCAAGCCCTCGTTGAACTGAAAGAAAAAGTCGCGGAAGCCCTTGGTGTGCTTCACTCGGTCTTCGTAAATGTGTAGCTTCTCGGCGTCCTTGTACGTGTAGACAATGTCCTTTAGCAGCTCTTGCTTGAACTCCATTGTGTTCTTGAACTTCTGTCCTGCAGGCCCAATTGCAGGCTTTAGGCAAACCATGTCGAATTCCAAGCGCCTGCTACGTATGATGCGCTTCACGAGATCGGCAAAGTTGGACTCGCCGCGGCCCGTGAGGAGCACACTCAGCGCATCCTTCTGCGCCATTGATGATTCCACGAGCTCGACAATCTGTTCGTTCCACCAGCCTTGCCATGCGCGTGCTTCTTCTTTTTCGAGGCCTTGGCCTGTCGCTGCTAAGATGCTCGAGTCGTGCCACCAGCCTCCGTTGAGGAACATGTCGGGTGAGCCAAGCTGGCCGATGGTGGCGCTGTTCCATAGTTGCTTGTTTGGGAGAGGGCTTGCAAATACTATCATGTTGTCAGTACTGGGGATGCGACACGGATGTGACAGGCGTACGGGTGTTGTCGAAGTCGTAGACATGAATGGCCTTGATTTCGGATACTGGAGGGAGCTCCTTGTCATCGCATGACCACCGCTTGAGCGCCGTCACGGTATGATATGTGGCTTTTCCATTCGGGCCTGCGACGGCAGGCCGGGTTGCTGTTGCTAGCATGGCTGGGAATGAGCGTCGGATACAAGTTGAGGCAATGCGTCGGGTGGCGGAGAGGAGCATGCAGGAGCAAAATTAGACTGCAACAGGCGCAGAACCGTCTGCGATGAATTACACGCCTTCCTACACGTGCAGCGAGTGTGGAGAGTGAATGATGAAGCCGCAGACAGCGTGCAAGAAGGAAGTCGCGACTACTTTTGGCTGGCCCGAGCGCACTTCCGACCCATGAGCTCATCATCGGAATTCAGGGCCCTTTCTTTTCCCTTCTCCAACACTACAAGCGCATGCCAGCAAGTACGGCCGGGTCTGCGCACGACGACAGGGAGGACACATGTGTAATATGTCTTTCACCCGTCACAGAGAGAGCCATTACTGCGCCGTGTAACCATTACACGTTTGATTTTGTATGTCTGGTGTCATGGCTGCAGCAAAAATCGACTTGCCCGCTATGTACGTAGGACGGACTCACATGATATGGTTACTGTTTCTAATACTGAAACCCAGGTAAATCAAACGTCACTACTGTCCAGTATGACTGGCGTTCTCCATCCGACTACAAAAGCTATACTGTTCCTTGTAGTCATCCTTCCAGCAACAACGACAGTCGCACTGACCGGCCGGGCTCTCTCTTCGCGCCTTATGGATTACCCAGAAGGCCTAGGGGTACTCGCCGTCCGTACTCTCCACCTGTTGAAGATCCAGCTCTACGCAGACGTAGGGAGGTTTACAGTAGGAAATTATACTCCCTCCACATGGGCAGTAACCCCTTCTCCGGATACCGCGACATCACGCCCGAAATGATTGCGCACTCTCCCGACATGCAGTCCAAAGCGCGCGCCTGGATCCGGCGTGAACTCCGCGTCTTCACCTTCTTGTACACGGATTCCACGGGTTCTTCGTCTTCTGGTGCAACAACAAGTAGCAATGCCGAGTTTCTGTTGTCCTACATTGTATCTATTCTGAAAATGGTGGATCTGAAAGCCAGTCATGGACATGCGGAGAACTTGGTAGCTGAGTTCCTGGGAAGGGAAAATAGCAGGCTCTTCTTACATGAGTTAAATACTTGGATGAGGAGCCCATATACTAAGGTAGAAGAGTGGGACCAAGCCGTGCAGTATGTGGAAGACTTGGAAGCATAGCATAGTGCACGTCTTCATTACACTTGGAAGAGTATTGTGATCTGGTGATTGACGTATTCAATCACTCTCGATAAGAAAATTGGATTCTTATCTCTGATGGACTAGCAGTATTTGCCTAGATAGGGGCTCTTCACCTTCAATCCATCATACGAACTAGCTCTACACCGACTCCATTCACCTACTTATTTCGAATCCGCCGGTGGCAGCATGACGACATACTCCCTCTCGCTTCCGCCGAACTTGATTATGTCCTTGTCCCGCAGCTCAAAGTACCGGCTTGCTTCAAGGTCTTCACCGTTCAATTCAGTACCATTACTGCTCTCCAAATCGATAATGTAGGGTTTGACCTTTCCTCGCGTGCTCTTTACTCCAAACTCATCTTCAACCGTCTTCTGAATATACCGGAACTGGATGACGGCGTGTTGTCCACTTGAACTAGGGTGCTCGAGAACATAATCAACGACTTCATGTGACCGACCCAGCAGCCAACAGCTCTTTTGCCAGAGCTCAATCGTGTCCACCACATCGTCACCTTTGAAAACAAACATGCGCCATGGCTGCGATGAGGGCGGTTTCCGTGCCTCCGCTGGCTCATGATATTTTAGGGAAATCTTTGTGCCTTCTACCCGGTTGGCGGCTTTCGCCAGCGCACCCGTGGGCTTGAAGTTGGGTTTCTCCTTGTCTGCTGGGGCACCCCCATATTTCGATGGCGGCTGGGTAGAGTCATCAAGACCACGGAAGGAAACTTCTTGCGAAGGTAGAGGCTGCTTCTCACGCTTGTGCTGAGGGGGTGAACGTGACCGAGACTTGGAACGTGTACGTCGGCGACGTTTAGGTGGCGGCGACCTTGACCGAGAAGGCGAACGGCTGCGCGGCTTGCGCGAGCGATAAGGTATAGGGGAGCGTGAGCGTGAGCGTATTCGATCTTTGGACTTGTCCCTCCGTCGATGATCCTTGTCTTTGGAGCGCGACCGGTCTCGTCGGCTGTGTCTGTCTCTGGAGCGATCACGCCGCCTGTCTTTTGAATGGTCTCTCGTCCGGTCGCCAGACCTATCACGTTTCCTGTCCCGTGACCTTTCTCGCCGTCTGTCCTTTGACCTATCCCTCCTGCGGTCCTTTGAGCCGTTGCGCCTTCTCTCTCTGGAGGAGTCGCGCGGCTTTCTGTATGGCTCAGGCGAAGGCTCCCGTTTGCGAATAGCGCCTGACTCTATCGTTGGATTCTTGGGTGCGCGGTCCTTGGATACATTCCTTGGCTTCTCTGCTTGAGACCTGCTCCTTGAACGCCGGCCCGATGCCATTGAAGGCTCTCTCCTTGCGTGATCCGACTCATTTCTGGAGAAGTTGCTGGGACTCTCATTTCTGCTATTACTGGTCTGCGCCGATGCTGCCCTGCCCTCCTTGGACTGCTGGGTTAGCAGTCGCCGCGCGCTGTATGGCGACAGGTCTCTCGTCATGTTGGGGATATGGATTGCTGGCAGCAGCCTAGCAGTGCAGCATGAAAATCAGAGCGTGATGACGTGCCCGAGTTTTCTTCCACTAGTGGATAAAATGACCAGGTTTTTGGGTTCAGGATGCAAGGGTAGCGGGAAGTAGCCGTGTAGGAGATTACGCCGTGAATGGCAGATTGCAACAAGACAAGTTTGATAACTCCAAAGAGTCGCGACGCAGTAGCGTGAAAAGAATTGAAGCTACGCGGTCGCGACTTTCCCCACACTAGAGAGACGGCCCGAGCGTGCTGCATCTCATCCCCCCCTGGCCCGGCGCTATTTGCGCTAGGACGCCACGTGCATCCATCTCTGCCATGTCTTTCATTCGTTTATCACACCTCTGCATCTTCCGCGAGCTTATAGGGCGGCTATCACGTATTCATGTGGAAAAGGCAAGATAAGGTGTAATATCTTATTGATTCGGGCCCTTTTGGCCCTCGTAGGCATTGTGCTCAAGGTATGGCATGGTTCATGTGTTCGGGCCCCAAGGCACGACTCAGGGCGCAAAGGATAATTCAGGAGCATTGCACAGGCAGTATAACCACGGACAAGACTCTATGAGAGTCCTTGCTGTTGAACTCTCGTGCATCATCCCTTTTTCCACCTCCAGCCCAACACTGCCACTCGAGCGCGTCGAGCTGTTAATTCATATCCATGTCTCCACAGCTTCCTGGTTAATTGTATTGCGCCCCGGGCCGGTACAATGCCAGCCAAACCTGTTCTCTCCTGGTCTAAACGCCACAGTGGCCTTGACCCTTCTTCTCGGACGGGACTACTCGATACACTGAAACGGCGGCCATCGAAGCTTGCAACCACAGCAGCAGACGGCAAGCAAAATGGATCCAGTACGAGTGTTGCTCAGTACGATACAGCGCTGGCCAGCGCAGTCAGTAATTTCCATGTTGCAGTCAATGACATGTTGTATTCGCCAGCGTCGATAAACACACTAAGCTCGAAATCTTCTTTTGTGGACAAACCCCTTCCCAGCAGGCCACGATCTGCATCGGTGCCATCATTGGTAGAGTTGCCCGCTGAGTTGCCCAAATCAACCCTTTTACAGGGCCAAGGCTATCCATTGTATCACGATCCTATTCGCGCGACAAAATCGGTCCAGGCCCTTCAGGATGAGAGCCAGTACCCGAAAATGCAACCCGCCTGCGAGAAGGTCGCTACCTTGGACATACCAAAGCCGGCTGTACCGACATTGACCCATGCCAGAAGCGTCCCGCATCTGAGTTCCCGATATAGTCTGGCAAAGACGACCCGCCCCAGCAAAATCCCTGTTCTCAGTACAGCCGCTCAGTCTGGTTTCCAAGGATTACAGCGAAACCACTCCTTGACCGACACTACCTTGCAGAGACGTCCAGAGTCTAGTCTGAAGTCGCTTCCGACCATCACCAAAAACGACCTTATCGAAAGAGGTGGCAGAAATTCCGATCAAGGTCTTGAGAAGCGACACGGCTATGTAGAAGCGGTGAGTCTCTTTCCGTTTTTCTTGTGTACGCATGTCGGCGAAACTTACAAAAGTCTTCCGCGAGGAAATATTTTTTGTGACTCTGATGTATAATGAGCATTAATGCCGATACCGTTCTCTTGTCAAACGCTTTCCGGGACCACAACTGAGCTCTCAAACATGCTAATCATTTACAGGAGTCTTCCCAAACTAGCCCAACATCAGCACACAGCAAACATGCCCATGAGCTAGAGTCGACCAACGCTAGTCAACTTCAAACCATAGCAATATTGCAAGCCCAGTTCGACAACCTAAGGGCCTCACATGAATCCCACGTGGAGACGCTCAAACGTTCACATTCGGTCCAAGTCGCTTCTCTAGAGCATCAAGCACGACTGCTCAAGGAACGAATGAACGAGGAAGGCCTTCAGCGAAGTAAGTATGATTTTGTTGTGTCACGAAGCTTGCCCATAGAGGCCGAATATGATTGCCGTTCTGTGATACTGAGCAATGTGGGCTCTTTGTTATACATTCGGAATATCACACGCAAAGGCCAATGGCTAAACATATATAGGGTCAAGTGGTGACTGGCTACATGTCCCAGTCGATGAGGGCGTTGCGAAGAAGCCGGCAAACTTCGAATCTCTAAACTTAGATACGTCTTTTGATGAGATATTGACGGGAAAGACACATACACACACGTTCCAAATAAATGCACCTGAAATGGTAATGATGCCTGGAAAATAACGCACTTGATATATGCTGAAACAGATTCGTTAGGAAAATTTGAAGCGCAAGCTTTTCGCCTCTCCTCGGCTAGAAACAGCAACCCAGAACCTACATTTGGAACTCAGCTTATACGCACGAAACAATACTGCTCTCCAGAAACAGGTTGACTCACTCACGACAAAATTAAATGAGTCGAACGAGAGCGAGCGAAAGCTGAGAGAGACGCTGGGCCTGGTGGAAACGAAAAGTGCCGAGTGGGAAGAGAAAGCAAAGCACGCCAACAAGCTCATTGACAAGCTCACTGAAAAAATCCATGCTCTGAAAAACACCACTGCTGACCTCGAGGCTCGCCTGGAAATTGCCAATGCTAAACGATTGGATGCTGAAGAACAGTTCTCAAACCTGAGGGATAAGAAGTCGCCATTTGATTTCACTCCTGCCAAGCTACGTATTTCATCGAATGCGATTCGGGTAGCCTCAGGTACGCAAATTAGTACTGGTACCCAAACTTCTAGCGAATCAGCCGATACTTCAGAAGCAGTCGTCTCAGAAAACCCTGCGCTGGCTGCATCCGCCTCAGAAATTGAGCAACTACAAGCTCAAGTTGCTGAGAAGAATGCATACGTAATTGAACTAGAAGCGAAACGAGAAGAGCTACAACAAGAATACAACAAACTAGACCAAGAACACAAGAGAGTGGCTGTACAATCGGATCTTCAGTACGAGCTTTTGAAGGAAACTCGTGCAAGCGACAAGCTGATCGAGCAACTCCGGAACGCGGTCATTAACCGTGAATCCACAATCATGCAAAATGAAGAGTCGATTCACACATTGACGAGGCAGCTTGAGTACCACAAGGTTTTGCTGCAAGCAGAAATCCGACAGCATACAGCAATGAAGCTTTTTGTTGCCGAGGAAGAACAGCCTCTGCCGGAGCTTAGGTCATTAGCCAAGGGTGCAGACATTGATTGTTGGATCGAAAAGCTTCATGAGCGTTTGAAGAGAGAGAAGCCGAGTAGCGAGGACGAGGCTGTCGTTGACACGCCCGAGGCGAAGATGGAAAGGTTACGTCGCGAGATTGACTTTTATGTGCGCGAAATCATCCTGTTCAAGCTTGATATCAAGGGGTACCGAAGCGACATTCGCAAATTGAAGGAAATGGCTGCGAACAAGGGTGGCTCCGAAGAATCGGATGATACTAGAGAGAAGGCTTCCGCAACCTCACCAGTCCGATCTACTTTTGCACCCGTCACACCCGAGCTGGATGCCTTTCTCAACGCTTCGTCAATTAGGGACCATACCGACATCTTGTCGAGATACGAAGAGCATTCTGTTGCCCCGTCATCACCGGGTCCTTCTCATAAGAGCTGGACTGGGGAGGACAATGAGCAGATGTTTGGGTTAGAGATACCCAAGGTTTCTTGGAGTTTGAAAAACAACAGCTTCTTTACAACCGAGTCTGGTCGTATCGACTCGGCTTTCTCGCCTTCTCCAACCCCAAATCTGATCTCAAAGAACTCGACCCCTTCGGTATGTGCGCTGGCCAGTATTTGGTTTACTATCTGACTCTTGTTTAGTGTGTTTTGAGCGAATCTCTTGAAATTGGCCAGCAGCGGGATTCACTCGAGCCCGCAGAAAAAAGACGAACGACGTCAACGGCCGAACGGGAAGCAGCATCTTACAGACAATTTATATTCATGTCAGATGCCCCCGAGTCACCTCCAAGTCTGCCAGTTGATATATATCAACTACTAGACAATTTCAGTTCGAACGAACAGATGGCGGAGACATCATTTGGCCCTTATGATGAGGTCGAAGTCTCTATACTACCGGGATCGCCTACAATATCACTCTCTGAAACCGATTCAGTCATTTCGACGGCGAGTGATTTCCTTTTGTATTCTGTGCTTTCAGCCGAACGCAAACCAAGCAATGCTCCAACACCAAGCGTGCCCCTCCAGGTAGCCGTAGAGCCGCTGCCAGCACCAGTACTTGTCACGCCTGCTGTTGCCACTCATACCCTGGGCTGCTCAATCACCCGTGGTGCGCCATTCGATGTCAAGCTGTCTTCTTCCAAATTCGACACTGATGAGACCACGGCGCCATCCACTCTCGCGGATATACCAGTCCTGCAAACCAAGACATGGCAAGAAGAAATGCATAAAGCAACCAAATCATCCTCGAGTTCTCCCACTGTATTCGAAAAGGAGGAAGAGCAATCCATGAGTCTCCCTATCATTATGTCCCGCTTACGTGGAGGAAGTATAAGCAGCATCTACTCGGCGGACAGTGTGTCGAAGCCCAGCGAACAACAAGATACCGAGATATCCGAGAGCAACGTGATTAACATGTTGAAAGCGCTGCAGAGCTGCCCGTTCAGTCTCAAACCAAAATCATCGTCTTCTTCATTACGAAGCTTTGCATGATAGCAAACAATCCAAGTTATCGTTTCAGCTCAACGATACATATTTGAGCAACAGTCTTTTGAAGACTTCCTATCCGGTAGGGCAGGACATGGAATTTCTTTTGTCAACTCCGCTCGTCGGACTCACATACAGCACATGACATGTTTTCTTTTGCTTTTCTTTTTCTTTTTTTCTTGGATGTGTAACTAGTTTTTGAAAACGTGGTATAAATTAGCACTAATGTCACCACGTATAAGTTGGTACCTGAGGAAGGAATCGGAAGATGCACTATCATAATGTATGCAAGCTTGCTAAGCGCCAAACTTGGAGTGCTATTTTTAGAAGTCAAATATGATTGCGTGGACCACGAACTATTGGTCTGCACAGTTCTTCGTAAGACCATGGACTAGTTATAGCAATTCTTGGTTATGTGAATCACGACATGTCTCGTATGTGGTGCGGCGGTGCCGAGCAGCAGACCAACTAGCCCGTATCTGTTGGATTACCTCGTAGCTAAGCGGACGCCACCAGACAAGGATGTTGGGCTCGCCGCCTTGGGTACCGCCTTGGCAGGGACACTGCATCCCAGAGACAGGCATTAGCTTCCCCCACAATCCGTCCATGTAAGTAAGATGGAGTCAGCTTCTTGCGCGTTCTCCCCACTCCTCATTCCTCCCTTCTCTTCGCCTAGTGGGAGTCGTGGGTAGTTGTAATACAGAATGGCGCTGATGCGGCGCTACACTCTCTATGTCCTCATGGGCTTTAGTCTCATCTACTTTCTTTACTGTCTCAAGACACCTTATGAGAACCCAGACAACGCGGTTATAGTCGGCGACCACGACCACCACGAACATGAGCATGAACATGAGCAAGACCACGAGCACGAGCACGAGCACGAGCATCAGCAACATCCAGATCAACATACACACGCAAACGAGCCTCAAAGGACAAACAAGTTCCCGTCGTTTGATTGGGCCAAGGTGTCCTTCCACAATCGCATCGAGTCGTTCATTCCGCTACCAACCGGCAAACCGAAAGCGCTACCCAAGATCCAGTTCAGATTCCGACCCGAAGATGCCACGGCCAAGAACATCCGTGAGACGAGACGAGAAGAAGTCAAAAAGCAGTTCTTCAAATGCTGGAAGAACTACCGCAGTCATGCATGGATGCACGACGAGGTGCGTCCCATAAGCGGGGGAGTGTCGGATCACTTTGGAGGCTGGGCCGCCACCCTCATTGACGCGCTCGACACACTATACATTATGGGATTTGAAGAGGAATTCGAGTCGGCCGTCGAGGACGTCGAGCGCATCGACTTTGGATACACGGATCTGGAAACAGTCAATGTCTTTGAGACCAACATCCGGCACCTGGGTGGTCTCTTATCGGCCTTTGAACTCAGCGGCGACGAGCGATTGTTGAAAAAGGCCAAGGAGGTTGGCGAAATGTTGTACCATGCGTTCGACACACCCAATCACATGCCCATTACTCGATGGCAGTTTCGCGCTGGAGGCGAGGGCAAGCCCCAAGCCGCAGACGGGCAGGTTCTCCTTGCAGAAATCGGAAGTATGACCATGGAGTTTACGCGCCTCTCGCAATTGACAGGAGATCCAAAATGGTATGATGCGGTAGCAAGAATATCCCAGCTCCTAGAAGCCCAGCAGAGTAAAACGAAGCTTCCAGGCATGTGGCCGCTGATGGTAAACGCACGAAATGCGGATTTCACCCAAGACACCAGTTTCACCCTCGGCAGCATGGCCGACTCCACATACGAGTATCTGGCCAAAGAATACATGCTCCTCGGCGGCCTCGACACCACCTACCAGAAAATGTACGAAAGCGCCATGGACACTGCCTCCAAACATACCCTCTTCCGCCCTTCCAACCCAGAAGACTACGACATGCTCGCGTCCGGCTTCGTCTCCGTCTCCGAAGACTCAACCCCTCACCTCGACCCCGTCCTCCAGCACCTCGCCTGCTACACCGGCGGCATGTTCGCTCTAGGCGGCCGCCTCTTCTCAAACGAGACACATCTACAAATCGCCCGCAAGCTCACAGACACTTGTGTATGGGCCTACCACGCATCCCCAGCAGGCATCATGCCAGAAGTATCGCATCTACTCCCCTGCACCTCCTCCACCACATGCTCCTGGGACGAATCCGCATGGGAAAAAGGTATCGTGGCCCGCACCTCCGCCTCCGACAAAGAGCAGGATCCACTCAAGAACATTGCGAACTTGCGTCTTCCACCGGGTTTCACATCTATAGAAGATCGCCGCTATATCCTCCGTCCCGAGGCCATCGAGAGCGTGTTCGTCATGTATCGTGTTACAGGTGAGCAGCAGTGGCAGGCTGCGGCGTGGGACATGTGGAATGCGATTTTGAAGTCTACGGATACGGACATTGGGAATTCGGCGCTGGTGGATGTTTCGGCACCGCAGCCGCCTAGGGAGGATAGTATGGAGGTATGTTGTGTCTCTTCCCTTTTTCACTTTATCTTCCTGTCTCTCTTATTACCATGAGGGCGTTGTTTGAGTATATTGACTAACGATTACAACAGAGCTTCTGGATGGCGGAAACGCTGAAATATTTTTATCTTACATTTAGCCCGCCCAGCGTTATTAGTCTTGATGAATGGGTTTTTAATACCGAGGCACATCCATTCAAGGTGCCCAAACCCAAGGCTTAGAGATGTATTCTGGGTTTCTTCTTTCTCTTTCTTTCTTCCGAGTTTGTATAATATAGAAAATGGAATGGGATACATGTGGGATTTCTTAGCATTGACTTTCGGAAGAACAAACGATAGTATTACACCCCCTGTGTTTACACAAATCTAATAGACGAAAGTGCATCGTCCCCAGGTGAACCTCGTCATTCGACTCTTGAGAAACTTACCCCCCCC